CGGGGGGGGGATTTTGTGCATTTAGGGAGCGAAACAAATACAAGGGGGGAGGAGACTGGCTGACAGGGAAATCCAATATGAAAAAGGGAAAAAACGTATAGTGGCCTAGGTGGTGCGACTTTAATTAGCCACTTCTGCTCTCCATCCACGTTCCGCTGCTGCTGACCAGCTCACCGGCTTTCCCGTTTACTGCTCTCTCGCTTCCTTAAATCTGGAGCTGGGTGCCGCGATGTGACGGGGCAACCTCATCTGTGTTCAAATCTTCAATAGGCGAATATGTAGGGGAACTGCAATAGTAGATGGTAGACAGAAAAACTACAAAAAGAACACGTGGGGAAGTCTGAGCATGTGGATAAAAGCGTCAATAGGACAGGAAATGATAAATCGAAGGGAACAAGCGGCGTTTACCCACACCGCCTTTCTCTGCAACTGCCTGATGCTATGGCATTCACAAACTGCTTTCTTCCCTTGCAGTTCCTCTAATCCGCCTACGTTAGTGGTCGTTTTAGTGCATGCATTTCAAACCAGAAAGTAGCCAGCGCGGAGACTACACTCAGGAAGATTCTTTTCGTGACGAATTGTCTGATTGTCGACAACTTGAATTGCCCTCTGAGTACCCCTAGCTCAGAGGAATCCATCTTGAGCACTCCCTATCTCGCCTTGACATAGAAGTAGTAGCGACTACAAGTGTATATATATGCACAAATGAGCACAAAGGTTGGTGGTGTAAGCACTTTCTTAAGGATTGACTTCACTTGGGTTTGCATGTTAGTAGAGGGCACATAATTCTTGTCATGCATGCACGGAATCTTATGGCACGTGTCTCGATGTATGCCCTTCATTATAACTGTGGCTAGTTAGAAGGCAAGACAGAGAATAGACTCAATTGATATATTTATTTCCTGTGTTTCTTTTCTTAGCTTGCTGGACCCATGACTCGTGACTGGCTACAGAGAGCACAGAGGTTTCCTATTGGCAGCAACCCGCCTGTTCAACACACTTGTCCGAAGAACTTGCGCTTCTGTGCATAAGAAGTTTAAAATATGAATAAAAAGACGCAAAGTTTCCTTATAAACTTTTGTGGCACTTTCTTGTCTTCACTGCATCTCACGAGGGCCATCAGCCAACCAAGGTGTGCCTTGCTACACTTGCAAATATGCTGGCATATAAATTGCATTTTCCCTGTGTCTTTGCTGCTTTCGCAGCAGCAGAGGCTACAATAAACTTGACCGGTGAATTGCTGTGTAATATGTAACAACAAAACTTGACCTCATCGCTTCTGTTGCATAGTCTTTGCTGTGCTTGCAAGTGTGCCTAAAAGGGGAAGAAGAACCTATAACCAGAGTTATAAGACCAACGTTGCTCAGGCAAAACAATTAAATAATTGAGAAGAGTTCCTTTGCACATAGCCAAGAACACTTCTTGTTTGTCATTGTATGTGGGGGTTTGTACCGTAGCGTATGTTGGTGCAGCAAGTTGCCTATATGGTGTGTACGTATGTAGGTGCTGCATCCTCTCCATTCGCTCTAGGCTGTTGATCCGCTTACCTTAGGGCGCATGGCGACTAGTAAAGAATGTTTAATGCGTTTAAGGAGCCATCTGCACTATTATTTTGTATTGCTTGTTGCTTATAAGAATCAAGGGAGAAGACCGTGTATTCGTGTTACAGGTGTGTACGAGGAGTCTCGCGTCTAATTCACAGTATTTGTACAACATTGCTAGAATAAAACCTTGTACAAGAAAATAAATGAAGTAAATGAATAAAAAGAAATATAAATATACGTAATTAAACACAAGAAGGAGCCATGAAGCCGATGGTGTCTTCACCCTCCGCAACAGGTCTAGGGGCCCCCAACCCCACTCTAGGGGGGCCCCTTGCAGGGGGAGGGATAATGCTTACTAAGTGGAATAATGCTTAAATAATTATAAAATAACATCAAACAGTTAATTAATTGATATTTTTTAATTTCTTTTCTTGTAATATGCAGCAACAACCCCCTTGACGTCCTTTTCTCCCCTCCACGAGAGAGCAACACCCTCCCTTCCTCATAGCAGAAGTAGGGGGACCTTTTCTAGGCTATTTTTTCTTCTTTTCTTATTTCTTTGTTTTTATTTGTGCGGCATTATTCTTTATTTGGCGTATTTAAGTCTTTAAATGGCACCTTTTTGGCGATTTCTCCCATTTGTCCCCGTCGGTTAAGTTGCAAAGGGGGCCCCTACCCCCCCTGTCTGTTCTGCGTAAACGAACCTAAACCATTAGCCCTAAACCCTTAATTCTCGCCGTCTATATCTCTCTGCTGCACACGCATAGACACTAACATGCAGGGGCCCCCCTCCAGCAAGCGGCTCAGGGGCGCCCCATACTCCCCACCCTCATCACCAAAACGCCATTGCGGCAAGGAGGGCCCCCAACCAGGCACATCAGACCACTATGGGGGCCCCGGAGGCCTTCGTGAACGGCCGCCCAGCCCCTCTGGGGGCCCTCCCGTGCCTTGGGGCT